TGCTTTTGCCTTCCCCAGGGGGTAGCCTCCAGTTCTGGATGTGAGAGGAGCTAGAAGGATGGTGTGAAATAAAACCTGAAGAAGTCCACCGAGCTTCATAAATAAGTAGGGGAAAAATCCATTAAGGAAATTCAGTGTTCATGGGAGCTGTGGAAGTAAGGGAAGCCAAAAAGTGCCTCTTGCCACCTACTCCCAGTTATGTTTCAGTTCAGTCACCACCAGGGATGGCGACTTCCTTGGGCCAGTGTCCCCCCACAGTAGCAGGCTGGTAGGTGGGTGTCTAACGCAGCCATCAAAGGCTTTAATGGAAGAAATGCAATGCCTACCTTCCATCCCTTTTCCTACCTTCCTGATCTAACTGCAGTAACAGAGCAGTCAAAAATCAGCCTTCTTCCACCTGGTCCCAACAGGCACAGTTAGAAAGATGTGTGGTGTCTGGCAACACCGTTGCCCTGCCTTACTTAAACAAGAGCTAAAAGTATCATCCTTTTAAAATATAGCATAGAAATGTCATTTAAATTTAAGCAATTTAAAACCAAAGGTAGAAATCCCATGAGTGGTACAAAGCCTCTTAATGCAAGCAGTCAGTCAAGCATTGCATGCCTCAATCACACTTGTATCGGTGTCATTTGTATCCTAATAAAATCCTATAATCTTTTCCGTGCCAATTAAACAGGGAAGATAGCTGAGTCTAGTCGCTTCCTTGAGTAATTACAGGCTAGTTGGGAGTCACAGTTATCTGCTGTGGGGTTTGTTGGACTGTGAATTTCCAACAGGGTGTTTTCTCTCCTGTTTCTCTAAAGGACAGTACTATCATTTTTTAGATGTATGGTATTTTAAAGCTATAGCCAAAATCTAGGGGATGGTTGTTAATGAAAAATCTGGAGTTTAGATACACCCAGTTAAACAGTGGATTGAGCTTAACTGTATTTGCTTCACCAATACTTGAGTCGCTTCCTAGAAAAGAGCATTTACACCGAGTCCAATAAGCTGTTCTTACATTTGTGAGTCTATCCCTTCATTTACAAGGTAATTTCTCTGTTCCTTAGAAGTGCATCATAAGAGTAAGTCATTAAGAAAGAGAAACTGGGGAATTTTTAGGCTCATTCCAGTCCCATTGTGCTTTAGGTCTGCCATCATTAATATGCATTTCTAGGTCTCTTTTTTTTTCATTCATTTCCAAATTTGCTGACCAACAAGGACAGTGGAAATTGCCTGTATAGTTCTTTTCTTTATTTCCTGTCAGCAGGGTCATCAAGATTCAAATCCCGGATATGTTTACATTCAGGAGTTTAATGTCACTGCGAATGTAAACCAAAGGTGCCTTCTGGGGAAAGTTGTGAATACAATTTCTTTTCCAATTAACTCCACACCGTCAGCAGCTCTGTGATATCCATCGTTATCCCCAATTTTGTGTATATATATATATATGTATATTTTTGTTGACTCAGCAGAAGGATCATCCAAAGGAATTAACAAAATCAAACTGTCCACCTGTGAAAGAGCTCTATTTGAAACAGCTTCTCTTAATCAATCGTGCTTTTCCTTCCACCAAGGCAATTTCACGTTTTCAATAGAAGGCAGACCTACAGCGAATTCCTACCCCTGCCCTGCATCAAATGGCTTTTTGCACAATGATATTCATCGTGTTACAACTCTAGGTGAATGGTAATGGATCAGAGGGAATGAAAACAGATGGATGTTAGAACAGGCAATTCCCTGCCACAAACCTGGGAGCCCTCCACTGCTGCCTGGTCTGTTCATTCAATTCATAATTGTATTAGACATTCCAACAATAGAGAGGCCTTCTTCATTAGTTCTGAATTTATTGAAAAGAAGCTTTGCAGACTATAGCTCTTGTGGTGTTTAGACACCACCAGGCAAAATTTACTACGGGCTTAAATGGATAAAACTCAACTAGATAGAAACTAGCACAGAAAATTCCAAAAGAATCAAAAGAGATGGGCCAGAGAGACAAGGAGAGAAGATAGCCTGGCAGCAGCACCAAAGGCAAATAGGAGATACTCAGGGACCGTTGCAACAGAGCTGCAACTTAAATGATACTAAGGAGATCCGTAGAAAAGCTTTCCTCTTCCAGGAGTGCAAGTATAGCTGAACTTCTCAATACTGCACTTGTATTTGATCTGATTTCCTCTTTTTAGCCCACAGCTAACCACACCAAGCAGTGGATGCTGATCCCTGCCCTGTACTGGGCACAACCTTTTTTGTAACCCTGGTCTGCATCAGGTGACCGGGGCTAAACAATACAGATCAGGTCTCTTACCAGCTGTCCTGTGAGTCAGACCTTGATTACAATATTGACATTAACATTTTAATCACATGCATGCTGCTGCAGATTTTAATGACCAACTTGCTCTGCCTTTGTTTTTTGAGGATCAGAAATTAAAGCCTTGTTCATAGTTTGAGCGCGAACAGCATCAAAACAGCAGCTACCATAACAGTAAACATGGCATTGCTCTCACCACCAGCTTGCCCCTGGACATTAACCTTGCTGGCACTGGAACACCTCACTGGAACGGGGACTTTGTTCTCAATTACTCTATTCCTGTGTCTAGGGTAGGACTGGAAGTTATGAGGAGAAAGGCGGTGCTTTTATATTCTCTGTACCCTGAGGCAATATGAAAATCGACCAGGTCCCTGTCTAACTATCATTTTCAGATTCCCAGGGACTTTAATCAGAGCAGTGTAATCTAGAGACATTTCCTTCATCCTGTGGAGCTGGAAGCACGGCTGCTATTGCACTTTCCCTGCCTTTTGCTCTCAGAGCAAGGTGAAGAAACTTCAGTGCAAATGAGAATTAGTCTCCAAGCCTGTTGTTGTTCTTCTCACCCCAAATGTACTTTACAATCTGTTGCAAACACTCCAGGCTGAATCTGTGAGGCCTTGCTCTATTAAAGACCATCATGTCCAAGGTGGAAAGACAACTAAAAGGTCGTAATAAAAAAAAACCAACCCAAATTCAAAATTGCTTAAGGCTGTAAAATGAGACCACGTTACAGTTCTGGCATGCACCAGAACACACTTGATGTTAAATAAGCTGGGTTTTGCATCACTGGTCTTAGCTGGTGTCTGTTGTTTCTCCCCCTGCTACCCCAATGATTGGCTGTAACGATCAGGCCTTAACTGCTTGGTATCCCTTCCACAAACATAGGCTGCCTTTATCACTTGCTTCAGCATGGTCATTTGCACTGAAAATACATAATCACTGTCAGAGTACAAAGAATCATTACGAATAATTAGTTACTTCCAATATGGCAAGTCAGTCTCATAAATCTTGAATATTTGGCTTTGGTTTTGGAAAGAGATTCCTTAATGGCTACACTTGTGAGACTCTGTTAATTGATATAAAATTGTATTCAAAATTAAATTTGTTTTAACTGATCTAAATCACCCCAATAAATCAGCTTCAGCCTGTCTGCGTTAAGGGTTCAAGTACGCCTTTCTTTTTTTTTTGCTTTTGGGAGAAAGTGTGTGCTTGCAATCAATGCATAGAGGGCTGCATCTGACCCTCCCCTCATTTACTAACCGCTTCCATATGCTGACATGGTGGTGATTTTGCTGGCCTGTGAAGGCATAAAGGAGGGGTAAGGGTACTGTTCTCAGCTATTCAGCTTTCTTGCCAGGCACTTGAGGGAACCCAGTATGGTAGTTGGGAGTTTAGCTGGATTCAACTCACAGCCTCAGTTATGGTACAGCCACTGTGTAAGCGGGGCTGGCTCTACATTCCAAGTGGGCAAAGGAGAGGGAAGGGAATTACAATAAGAAAAAGAAGGAAATCACGTCTATCTATAATAGCCGGATAGCAGTGTTTTGTTTTTATGAGTAATAATAGTATGAATGGTAGTTCTTATGATGTTCTTTTGTTCAAAGAAACTATCTTCTTTTTCTGATATCATAGGTGAGAGAAGGTGGTAGTTAATAACAGCTTAATTTCACTTGACCCTATATACTCTATTTAGCTGCTGAAATTGTTTCAGGACAGGATGTTATTATCTTTAGTCTCATTTTAAATTGGAGAAACAGAGATACAGGGACAAGCCCTCAGTATTCTTCTCCCGTAACTTCAGTAGGCTGTCTTTCTCAGCTATGTGGTGGTGAGCACAAATGCTTTCTGAGATCCTGTGTGGTAGAAATCTGTTGGAAGAATTCCCCATTTGCATCCTGTCTGCTGTTACTGTCTGTTATCTTAAATCTCTATTTTTTTTTTCTCCCCCAGAGATTCCTTCTTGCCTACTTCATCTCAGTAAAACTTTCCCCACCCTTCTCCTACCTAACTTGTTGCCTGTATTTTTTGCCTGTCTGATCTCCCTCAGGTTCTAGCTGTCGAACTTGTTCCATGTGGGCAGGCTCTGACTCCTGCATGCAGCCTTATGAAGTTTGATGTTCTCTGCCTGTGGATTTGCATACGTATGGGTCAGATTTCAGGAGGCTGTACCCCTTGCAGGGTATGTACTGCCTCTTGCTTCATATGTGTGAAGTCTGAAAACTGCTGTGTGTTATCAGGCCCTGCAGCAGAATAATCAGTACCTAATATTATGTCTTACTTGACTAGGTATGACTGAATCCTGTTGGGCTCAGTAATCTATTTAATGATTCTTCTGCTTGCTTTTAGAACGTTGCTGGTATACAGCCACCTTCTTCAGTGCTCAGTGTGCTGTGTGGTACATGGTGTTTTGGGGTGAGTACAAATTAAAATCTTCTCAATCAGCATTATTAAGTGCTACCATTGGAAATTTTCCTTGGATGGAAGTTGCTCCTAAGTGTGTTGTAGGTTGTGTTCATTTTACTCTTAAGTTTGTTGAAGTAATATGTTTTATTTTATCTCTTGGTGTGTATTATCATTCAGCTAATGTTGGAAAGAAAAACTCTTAAAAATCCCAAAAACAAACAAAAAAAATCAACACACACACCCCACACCCCACCCCCCCCCCCCCCCCCCCCCGTGAAAATTTAGGCTGTAAATATGTTTTTCTGTTCTAAGCCTGGAAACTGGGGGGAGAGCTAGCAAAAAGGAGCTCAGAAGATGTATCTAACAACCTACAACTTCCAGAACTCCCCTAATAAAGGAGGGTGTGCAAATGTAACTTAACAAGTGGTCAGCTACTAATGATAAGCAGGTGCTAAAACATGTTAGCAGTATTTCCTGCATTAATACTTTGTCTCTTTAAAGCAACCATCAGGACGATGTGTCATCTTAATTACAGTATCTGGGAGCAAGGAGTTTACTAGTATGTGTGTAACTTGTTAATAAAAGCTTCTGCACTGGGAATTTCAGCTCCCTGTGTACCAGCAGCAGTCTAAACACAGCTGTAGACTCGCAAAATCACCATGATATATAATTTACACTGGGTCAAGTTACCCTTTGTGGAAAGTAGGTGAGCTGGACAAGTGTTAAACAGGGCTTCAGCCTCACTGTTGTCAATGGTTATAATGGGGAGTTTTTTCCCCAGAATGGACAAGGCTTAACAAATCACTGCACAGTTACATGTTCTAATGTCTTTGGGTGGTCAGACCAACTTTGCATGAGCTAAATCAGAAGTGAATTAAAAGATATTAGGAGAATACAAGAGTTAAAATGTTGGCTTGATTGTCTGGAATTATTTTGATTCCAGAAAGATTTTAAAGAGAAAGGCAGAACTGGAAGCTAAATGAAAGGAAAACAGGGGAGATTGAAATGTATTACTCGCTATTAGAGTGAGTGTAATAAGGACTGAATTATTCTTAATGCAGAGGACTATTTTTTGCATGCTCTTCCTACTATTGCTGATCTTTTGTTGTTCTTCATCTGATTCACAGACTTAATTTCACTTCTGCAAAGGAAGCAAGGAACCTCATTTTATGAGGGGATTGTGAGGGCCTTTGCAAGGGGCTGTATTGAATTTCAGAAAGCATTTTACAAGAAGGAAGTCTGCCACAATCTTGTGCTATAGGACTTCCTCTGGAAGCATATATTTCTTCCCCATAAGTCTTTTGAACAGTTTTATACTGCACATGTTTCAAGAGAATTAAATCAATAACAATCTGTACCTTTCTAACCTGAAATGCAAGCTCTGCATGGCAGGAGATCAAGCTATGCAATTAACTGTTGTCCTTTCAAAGGAATTCTGACAGATATTTATAGTTTACTGTATTCCTTTTTCCTGCCATTGGAATATAACAGTACAACTGAATGCAGCTGACTGGAACTATGAAATAATTATAGCAATAACTATTTCCTTCTCTACTGGGGAAATCTTGTAAAGTGCTGAATGTGGGAACTGCTGATGTTCTTACCCCTCAGAATTCGGTCCTTGCCTCAAGTTTATCATGCATCCCCTGATAAGTCACTCGAGAGAATTTTTGTTTTCCATTACCTTCAGCCTTTTTTGATGTCTTGTTCTACATCTGACATTCAACTTGATGTTGAATGAATCAACTTTCTACAAATAAATACACTTTAAAAAGCTTTCTAAATTTGTGCACGGTCAGTGTATTAAGTAGAAAGACTTCTCTGTAGTAAAATAAGTCATACTTTTGTGTGGGAGTTGGGAGCAGTCTATTAAGAACAAACTATGCAATATTACAAGAAGTGACTAGATTGGCATTTGACTGCTAGCACTTTGCAAATTCCAATATAAAGGCACTTATTTTATACCCTGAGCTGTCACTGTAACTTATGTGCTCATGCTGGTGACTTAGTAGCATAATGACAGGCCATTGTTACTAAGCTAATTAATTTTAAGCAATCTTTCCTAACAGTATGCTTGAGAGTGACATTCATCTGCTGCAAACTTATGAGACATTGATGCATCAGAAAAATAGTAATGCTGAATCTTTGCACTACCTCTCTTGCTGGCTCAGTATGAATCTCATATTGGAGAACATTTGCTGTGCTGGGTGCTTTAGATGCCTTTTTAACCAATAACGATATCCTCAGCTACTTTGTTTTGTGGCTGTAAACCAGCAGAGGAACCCACACCGTGGGTTCCAGCCACCCCTTAGTTTTGCCACTCCACCATTTCTCAGGTGGGTTGAAGGTATGCAGATGTCTCACCAGAACCTAGCAAGCTGCAAACCAGGATCAGGTACAGCCGATGCTTGACCAAGGTGCTTTAGAGGAGCAAGGTGGTAGGGAGTTGTGGCATCTTTAGGTGAAGTAGTGGAAATGGCTCTTCAAATCAAAGTAAGTATTGGAATAATTCTCCTAACAATGCTCTCAAAGGGGTAGAAAAGAAGGAATGTCCAGATGCCCTCCATCTTTGCCCACATGGACTAGGTATGAAGTTAAGCCCTTCTTCCAACAAGGAAGGAATAAAAACAGGGAAGAGGAACTATTCTCACAGGTGGCACAGACTTCTTGTGGCTGTTGAGTAATATTGTATTATATAGCTGCCTCAGAAAGTGATGGTACTGACCCATTTCTAGGTAACACTTTTGATTTGGATTCCCCCCAGATTGTATTAAGACTGGGTGGATAAGCAGTGGTACTGTAACAGGAGAAAGAATCCAGCAACCAGCTTCTCCCAGGCTTCCATTTCCTGGGAGTGTTGTCAGAATGTCAAGTCCACTAGGAGGAAAGAAGTGAAGGAAATGGAAGATGTCTTCTACATTAACCAGATCTGGAAATTCCCCATGATTAGGTTTTTTTTTTTCTACATAAGGCTGATATCCAGAGTGCAGCTCTGGCTCCTAGGTCTGGTATGATAAAGCAGCAGTCTGCAACCCAACCTGTGCAGCTCAGCTTCTGGAAGTTACTTCTGGATGTAGAGAAGATGATTTTGGGTTTCTGCACAGTGAGCTGGAGTGTACGTGAGGATCAATATTATAGCTGAGAACTCGCCTCCTGAGACGCCTGCAACAAACAGTACATTATTTATGTGTTCTTCTTGTGTTTCTCTGTGCGTTATGTAAATACTAATCAAGATGAAATTGGACTCGGCCACCTCTAACTTTGAGTTCAGTTTATTTTGGCAATATCCAAGCAGAAGTCAGTTGCTAAATAGTCTTCTAGAGAGGCCTTGAGGTTTTCTAAGACTTTGCATGGGATTAGGGCAGAGACCCTGCATAGGCATATAACTGACGGTTGGAATTCCAAGAGCTGGTGCGCTGTTGTTCCCAGGCCTTGCGCTTTCCTTTGCTTATATAAGGAATGTGTAAATACCAAGTCCTGTCCAGCCATTGCCCTTTGACTGCAGCTGATGTTACTCATTCAGATAAGTGGCAGCGTGTTTTATTCCCTTGATTCAACATTTTGTTAGCTTTGCATCCTCTCCCCATATCCTTGACTTTTTGTGTTTATGACTTGTCCAGTATGATTTTATTCCAGTTCATTTGGGAGCAGGGAGTTTCTTTGGGAATACTTAGTAGTTTTCTATTTGTCTTGCGGTTCCAAAAGTCTAGTTTTGGTTGTTTGTATTTGCTTACTTATAACATCATTATATTTTTTCATGTCATTGTAGATGTTGAAAAAAAAATATGCCTTGCTCACAGTGTTGTTAACCAGTCTCTTGTTCGTAGGTGGTAACAGCTGGAGCACTGCAAGGCTTCCTTAATGTGCATGGGTGTGCCTGCCAAGCAGGGCAGCTATTAGTTCTGTGCATGATGATAGTTTCTATGATGAGCATGACTTTCTCTATTGGGAAATGAAGTGTGAACACCTACTCATTTTTCATAGGCCAAATTACAGTGATCTTTCAGCTCTCTGAATTGCCTACACCTCAAAAAGAAAGTCCCTAGGACCTTTCAGAGCACTGCTAATGAAATAGCTGGGGCTGAGCAGTTGTTCTGCAAGCAGGAATCAGCTCTACGAATCTAGCTATTTGTTTTCTGCCAGGCAGACTTCTGATGCGCTTGATGTACTTCACCCTTTTCATTTTACACTTGGGTTTGAGGTAGGTTTTAAGTACTTGTTGCTCAAGCTTTTTTAGCTATGATTAAACCAAAGGAAGAGAATTTCAAGTCAGTGAAGCTTTGCTTAGACTTCTATGTTGCTCTGAAATGCTCAAAGGTAGCAGCTAAGAGAAAACAAATTAAAGAAGGCATTACTACTTTTTCTTGGGGGAAGGAGGAAATCATTACCAGTAGCACTGCTGCTAAGAAATATAATACAAATATAGACCTTGAAAACAAAGGAGCTTGACTCAAAGAGTTTAGTCCTAACATTGGAATTCAAATGCTTCCACAGTTATATCTTTGCATGATTATTAAATCTTGTTTATGCTTTCTAGCCTAATTGTTCCCCAGTGATACTTCTCAGGCACAAGTCTTTGAGCTGATATTTTGTTTTGCTTTCCTCCTCCTGTAGTTCTGGGGTTGTTACTGACTTAGTCTAGCAGAAAAAAACAATGCTTAATGGAGCTTTTGACTCTCAAAATAGCAGGACAAGGCCAGTAATAAGCTTGTAATGGAGCAGAGCCCAGCAGATGGAGAGGACATGGCCCTTGATGGAATGGGAGCTGTGGGATCTGTCTTATCAAGCAACTGTCGCAGCTGTCTTCCTCCTCTAGGATGACCACAGAGAATTCATGCCAGTGTATTAGCTTCTCCTAGTGAATCAGGTGTGTCTGTGTACAAAGAGGACTTCAATCTCTCTCCGATTTTCCTAATGTTACATCACAGCATGTGTGTATACACAGCTGTCTTTTTGTTGTCTTCAGAAAAGAGAAAAAAAACCCTTTTTCCTCAATGAAGAGCTCTGTATATTCTGAGATTTGGATGCTGTGGTCAAAACAAAGCTTTTCATTAAAGCCAGGCATTCCAATGCAGTAGTACAGAAAGAATCTTAAAGAGAGGCAGTTTGAGCTCTGGAGCTATGCAGATGCTTGGAAGTGCAATCCATCAGGTGCTCCAATCTACAAGTCTGGCTGAAATCTTGCAGCCGTCAGCATGACATTACTCCCAGTCACATCAAGTGTGTTGAATAGCTAATAGATGTTTTGAAAGGAGGAGTTAAATTAGCTTCCCAAAATTCACCTCAAGAATACAGGCTCTGTCTACAGCTTGAATGTGGAGGTGTGATTTCAGTCCACTTAGAGAAATCACTGACACCTGAGGTTTTGTTTCTTTTTCCCTGAAGCTGCCATTTTAATTTGCATTTAGGTAGCTGTTAAACAATCCTGTGTTCTTCTCTAGCAAACAGTGTGTTGGCAGGTGACTAAGATCGTAAGAAAAACTAGTTAAGTTTATTTTGGTGGATGTGGCTTTCAGTTCAGAGCAAAGGCAGGCATTTTGAAGTGTGTAATGAGTGTACTATAGGATGAGTGTAGGTCTCTAGTCAACTCTGATTAACTTTGGTTACACATATAGTTCAAAGTAAACTGCCACATGGTCAGCAAAATTAACCATTATGTCATTCTGAGCAGTAAAAAGGATTTAATAATCTGGATTCCTTGTGGAAGATCGCAAAGGATGTTTGTAACATGTTTCCTCAAAGCAGAAAAAAGCAGTCAGTGTCTGCTGGGTGCCAGATTCTTTGCTGAGACAAAGTTGCTCAGCTTTAACCTAAGAAGCTGTCCCTGAAGAAACAAATGGGGATTGAAAAAGTGCTTATGAAAAGGTTGATCCTCCAGTAAGCAAAAAGAATATGGAAAAGCATATTGCCAGAGAACATGTGTGCTGCTGCTGGCTGGGTTCGCTGCTATGCTATGCATGGTGCTCATGGGCTCAGGCTTGGGTTCCAAGCACAGTTTGTCCCCCAAAGTGTGCTTGTTCATTATATGTCAGTCATTTACGTGCCTCAGTTGTCTTTTTTTCCTCTATTCAGTGTGCCTGTTCAGTAGGGAGCTGCTCTAGGGGACAGTAGGACTGAGGGCTGGAACTTGCTTTTAAGTACTTGGTTTATGCTTTGTGAGAGCAGCTAGATAGAAGGTATAAATTACTATAAATTGCAGGTCTATGCGAAAAGGTGTTTGCATAAATTATTGGAGAGCCCACTTGAACTTGTTGAGCAGTGCTCCCACAAACATTAAGAGGTCACTTAACCCTCTGTGCAGCCCTGCTGCAGAGCCCAGTCATGCATTGCAGAATTAAATGAGTTCCACCATTTTTCTTCTGAGCATTGCCCAGAACTGATGCAAAGTGACATCTGACAGCACAGGCAAAGTAGTGACAATGCTCTGAGACACTAATAATAGCTGTAGAGCTAGAGCATTTTTCCTCTATCCTTATTTTTTATTAGATTCTCTCCAATTTGGTGAGGAAATGTTGTCATCCCTGGCACAGTTTATCCTTGGAAACCACCTTTGCTGAGCCATTTAATTGCAAGGCTGGCTGCACAGTGGAGTCAATGTGCTAGGAATGCTCCCACTATAATCTCTCTAAAGAACAGCTGATGCCTCATTGAGAAC